CTTCCCTCTGAGCAAGCGATACCAGAGAGAGAGCCAGACAGAAGCTATATTTTTTTTATGACTGAGGCTTTGAAATCACGCATCCCTTCTGTCACACTCTATTCGTTCGCAGAAAGCCAGTAAGCCCAGCCACAGACAAGGGGAGGAGAATTAGGCTCCACCTTTTGAAGCAAGGAGTATCAAAAACTTTGCAGCCATATTTTATAACCACCACACTACCTCATAGGATTTTAATAAAGATTAAATGAGTTAATATAAGTAAGTGCGTAAAACTGTGCCTGGAAAACGGTAATTATCACATAAGTGCTTGATTACTATTAATATTGTTATTACTACTGTTGTTATTCTTATTCTCCCTGCACTCACCAGTCCACCCGCTCCCCACTGTCCCGTCTCCCTCAAAGTCAGAGTGGGGGATGATCCCTCCTTGACTTATTTCCTCCCAAGGCCCCCTCAGGGCTGCAGGGGCTTCTTTATCTGCCAGGGAGAGAGAATTCAGTTACACCAGGGCTCTGTCGACAGCGTCAGGCCCGGTCGTCCAGCATGAGGACATCTCGGTCCTCGCAGTTGCTAAAGGGCTGGCCCTTGCTCTCCTTTCGTCATGGCCTCAGGCGAGACTCCCGCGGCGATGAGCTTGAGGAAGTTCCCAGGCACGTGAGGTTGGCTCAGTGGGACACAGTCAGGGATCCTTGCCCAGGCCATGCCCCTGATAGGTATGGGGATAAGTATGGGGTGGGCTTTGAGAGCTTGAGCAGAAACCACCAATAAGTGCACAGGGAGAGCCAGCATGAAGGGCCACTGCTGCCCACAAGCCCACAAACCAGCGTGCAGGTCACACCTTGCAAAGGACGCTCACCCGAGGGGTACACGTGGGGGCTTGACCCTGGCCAGGCTCCGCTTGCCAAACCCAGAGCCTTGGCTGCATCGACCCCGAGGAAGGGGTGCCTTCTCCTAACTCGTCCGCTCAGAGCGCGCACCTTTCTGTAATCTATATAAAGCCCTGCACGTGCTAGCTGTGGCCTGGCCACCAGATCGTGTTTAAAGCAGATGCTGCACAATCCCTGCCCTGGGCCTGGTGTGTGAACAATTCACAAGCAGGCGGCTGATCACTAGTCCTGCTTGGCTGTAGCTTTTTCATTTTCCAGTCTCTGCTTGGACTTCTTTCTTTTGGTGGATAAATGTGATGTGGATGGTGGAGATGACCCAGGCCTAAGGCACACCCGAGCACCTGCCCCCTCCCAAGCGTGCTGTGCAACTCTTCGTGTGTGCTGTTTCTTTGGCCTGGAATGCCTCAGCGCCGTGTCTACCTGGGAACTCTTGGGCCTCCTTGAAGAAGGGGCAGGAGGAGCCTTTCTCGGGGTGCAAGGTGGTCTTCCCCTTCACCCCATCCCGGCCTGGCTGAGGGGGTTACTCAGCGGTGAACAGGACAGTTGGGTCTGGAGGTCTGGGGGCGTCACCCTGATGAGACGGGAGGAACAGAGGCAGGAGGGAGGCTTGAAATCTTTCCACAGGGATAAGCACCCTTTGCAATCCGCTCTGTAATAGATCCTGATTTTGCAAAGACATACTCTGGTCCCCAGAAAGACTTATGTCTCAAAATTGACAGAGATAGACTCTCACAGAGAGGTTTAGAGAGGGAGCAATGGGCCAGTAAGCATTTTTAGATAAACTGTATAAAATTTTTCCAGTGGAAAAATAGGAAAATACACAGAAAATTCCCGTGTGCACCCCAAACTCCGGTTTGGTTGAAAATATAAAATAAAGAGGTACTGAGTCTGCAATGCCTGCCTTCCCCTTACCTTAGAAACTGGCCCATCTGTGTTTACACTTGGAAGATCCTTGTTTCCATCTCTCTGGTTTTATCGAAGAGTGAAGAGACAAAGGAGCGTGATAATAGCAATTAATGATGGTGAGCAATAGGTATAACTTTCACAACGATGCTCAGCCCACACCTGCCCGCTGTCCTGTCTCCCAGGAACACACGAGCTCGGTCCACCCTCGTGACTCCAGACGCAGCCCTGCGTAGGAAAGGGATTTTGCCGCCGTGCACATCTGGGGCCTGAACACAAGGCTGAGCCTCCCCCAGGGGGCTGGACAAAAGGGTTCCAGAGGTCGCGGTGAAACCCCTGTGAGAAATATGATAACGTTTCTGGTCTGTTGTCACTAGATGTGACGCCACAGCAGAGTGAACAATAAGAGGTAAAGCCTTGTTGAGGTCTCAGGAGTAGAGGGTTTCTCAGCCGCAGCCCTTCAACATTTTGGGCTAGACAGTTCTTTTTCGTGGGGAGTGTCCTGTGCATTGTAGGACGTCCACAGCATCCCCGGCCTCTACCCACTGCCCGTAGCAACCCCCCAGTTGTGACATGGCTCCAGACATTACAAAATGTCTGGGGGTGGGGGTGGAGGCAAAACCTCTTGCAGTTAAGAAACACTGCTCTCATGGTCAAGAGCGAAGACTCTGGAATCAGGCTGCCTTGCTTCAACTCCCAGTGTCTGAACTTGCATGAGAACTGAATGAGTTAATGTGAAGGAAGCGTGACCACACAATTTATCCACCAAACCGGGGCAATTTGAGAGTGAACAGGGTTCTAACAATAATTTCATACACTGAGACTGTCCACAAACAGGGTGGTCAGTCCACAGTCCATAAACGGTGTTGGGCAGGGAGCCAGACCCACAGAGTCCAATGATTATTATGCTGAACGCTTTACATAAAGGACCTTCATGTAATCCCCCCAAACCCTATGAGGTCGGTACCATTATTATCCCCTTTCATATGTGGGAAGACTGAAACATTAAGAAGCTAACATATCTTGCCCAAGGTCACACAGTGAGTTGTACAGCCAGGACTCTGATCCCCAAAGGCTGGTGCCCATGTGCACTCAGGTGGCCCCGGGAAATAGCATTACTCAACATCCGCCTGACTCCGCGTGAACTACTAGCTCTAGGTAATGTACAGTTTCAACATTAGACTCGTGACATCATACCTTTACGAAGCTGGGTGGTCAGGAGTTACTGTGATAAAAAGCAGGTACTACATGGAAACCAGCGTGGAGCGGGAAATGAGGATGGTGTCACCCAATCTGATTCCCAGTTTTGAAAAGCTGTGCAGAGCCCAACAGGTACACTCATCCCATCAGGAAGTCAGTGTCGTTATTTAAGAAGGAAACAACAAATTTTTTTTTTTCAATTTATGTGTATTGTTTTCCAAGATGGCTACTAAGCTGTTAGGATATAAAGTCTTGTTAAGTCATTTGGACCCAGCTACTTAATTAATGGGGAACTGTTAGGTTTTTCTTTTGGCTGAGGGGCACAATGAAGATGATGTGAATGGGGAAAGTTTATGAGTCTTTGCACTTGTCATTTGTCATTAGTAGAACCCTGGAGGTTAATGATGGAGAAGGCCTTCTAGTCCAGACAGCCTGCAACAGAGACCTGTACAACCCCGCTGTATGTTCTGGGGAAACCTCTCTCTCTCCCTCTCTCTCTTTCTCCCTTTCTCTTTCTCTCTCTCTCTCTCTCTCTCTCTCTCTCTCTGTCTTTCTTTCATACACACATACACCTAGCTCTCCTTTCCCTCACACAAAAACTAGTATCCCTGACTCTAATCAGATGATTGCCAAAACCCCATCTTTCTGAGTTCCCTTTATTTCAATTTTTTGCCCTTTTTCAACTGTGTCAGGAAGCAAGTTGGTTGTTTTTCAATTTGAATCTAGTCCAGGTTCAAGCTGAGCATCCAACCTCCTCCCCAGGTTAGAAGTTGTGCTGGCAACTCACACCCACATGACACAGTGACAGGCAGACACACAAATGCACCCTTTCCCCAGATGGCACCTCAGACCAGCACACCCAACCCTTAGCAAATACACAAAGACAACTGCAAGCCAGAATGGGCAGCTGGGAGAGGCCTGGTAGTATGGCAAAGGGCAGAGGGGGTGAGGAGAGGGCATGGGTGGTGGGAGGGTGGCTGGTCCCAGAAATGGTCACCCTGTCTTGGCCACAAGCACACTTTTCATTCTCTAACTGCTTCCCTTCCTGTAACAGAAAACTAGACGGCAGTGGTGTGGTGGAAATGTGTGGGGTGGGGCGGGTGGCCTGGCTTTTATTACTAATCAGGGGCCACCTTATTCATGTCACTCTTGCAGGGCCTCAGTTTCCTCATCTCTAACTGGACTGGATTGCCCAGTGCTCCTCAAACTGGGTGCCTGAGGTACATTCACCGCTTGCTGTTCATCTGTCGGCCTTGAAATATCTGTCTTCCTGGGATGTTAAGTTTATTCAAAATTTTAGTGGGGATCCACCCTTTTTACAAGAAAGCATTTTATATCATTGTTCAGAATGCAAAATTTAGATGCATTTAATTCTAGTAACTAATACATGATAACAGTAATTACTGTGCCAAGTGCCTCACAATAACCTAATGGGGTATTATTATTCCCATTTTATAGACGGAAAACGGGGGCACAGAGAGTAAATAATTCACCTCAAGTCCCATGTTATTAAGACATGATAAAACGAGATACTCCCCAGAAAGAAGAATCTGGGCCCATGACAAGGTGCTTTGGGATCTACCTCCAGGCCCATTGGGTTTATTTAGTCTGAACGACACAGGCCAAATCATCTCCAAAGTTCCGCTCTGACATTCTTATACCAATTTTAGCTAAATCGGTGGCTAAAAGGCCTTGAACACCCAGTGCCCCTGAAGGGTGAAGGAGGTTGAGGAGGCCCTGCAGGGGCTCCAGGAATTCACTAGGCGGGGGTTTCAGGCCTCCCAGGAGCTTCCCCTCTGGCCAGAGGGCTCGAGCCCTCCACCTACGCCGCCGCCTACCCGCCCAGCCCGGTGTTTGCAGCCCGCGTTGCCGGGCACTTCCTCGTTCCCGCGCGTCCGGGGCGCAGCTCCCGACGCCCAGCGCCCGCGCTCCTCAGGCGGGAGGGGGCCGGAGGGGAGATGTCGCAACCGCCTCCCTCCCTCTGTCCCCGCCTTGGTACTCAGTCACCGCCCAGATGAGCGCGCTCCCAGACCGCTGCGGGCCGCCGGGCGCCCGGCATGTCCCTTGAGTGCGCGCAGGCGGCGGGCGCCGGGTCCCTGCGCAGCCTGGAGCAAGCCAACCGCACGCGCTTCTCCTTCTTCTCCGACGTCAAGGGCGACCACCGGCTGGTGCTGACCGTAGTGGAGACGATCGTGCTGGCGCTCATCTTCACGGTGTCGCTGCTGGGCAACGTGTGCGCCCTGGTGCTGGTGGCGCGCCGACGGCGCCGCGGCTCCACCGTTTGCCTGGTGCTCAACCTCTTCTGCGCCGACCTACTCTTCGCCAGCGCTATCCCGCCAGTGCTGGCAGTGCGCTGGACCGAGGCCTGGCTGCTGGGCCCGGTCGCCTGCCACCTGCTCTTCTACGTGATGAGCCTCAGCGGCAGCGTCACCATCCTCACGCTGGCCGCCGTTAGCCTAGAGCGCGTGGTGTGCATCGTGCGCCTGCAGCGCGGCGTCCGGAGGCCTGGGCGGCGGGCACGGGTGGTGCTGCTGGCGCTCATCTGGGGCTACTCGGCGCTCGCCGCCCTGCCCCTCTGCGTCTTCTTCCGCGTGGTCCCGCAGCTGCTCCCAGGTGCCGACCAGGTGAGCGCCCTGCAGAGAGCGCCGGGCAGGTGTCCAACGGAAGTGGTGAGCTGGGATGATGATGATTAACAACAACAATAGGCCGTTTGTTGCACTTAATAGTGTGTGGACCCCGTGCCCATCGCTGTGAAGTTTACTCTCTTAAATCTCACTCCCACACTGCGTAAATGCCCCTCGAAACGCTGTAGGTGGAGTCCCACAAATTCTTGCAAAATGCACTGACTATTGCCAGGTTGTTTAAATAACCGGGAGCTCAGGAACCAGATAGAACTTAGGGGGTGCGCGATGGTTAATCGCATTGTACTGAACTCTGGTTTCTTGTCAGGTGTTACAATCCTGTTATTATCACACCCACTTTCCAGATGAGAAAGCTCAGGCACACCAAGGAATAACTTGCCCAGGGTATCTCACCCATAATTGGAGGAGGAGCTGGGTTCATACCCAGAAGTTTCCGTGAGCGTTGGGTTATGGTACTGCTTTGAAAGCCTGTGGGCAGGCACGTGCGCATGAGTTGGGGAGAAAGAGCAGGGACCTCAGACCCAATGCTCCCTCTAAGGGGCTTGTGACTTCCCTTCTGGGATCCTCAGTTTTTCCAACGGCAAGACGGAAAGATTACATGAGATCTTACCCTGGGAGCCTTGGATGGGTGGCCTCAGGATATCCAGGGCTCCTGAAGGGCTGAGCAGACGCCAGTGGCTGGGCCGACGAGCTTTATTCTGGGTTCCCTGGTGTCTCACGGTGCAGAATTCCCAGCTCGAGTCTGTTTCTGTTGCTGCCCAGCTCCGTAGTTGAAGGGTTCGCGCGCCGAGATTCACCTAGGACACCAGACCCGGGTGCGGAGTCCCGGGTGGAGGACAGTGGCCGCCAGGTCTGGCAGTCTTCCTAGTGTGTGTGTGTGGTTCTGTGCGCCTCGATGAGAAAGAGGGAGAGAGAGAGAGAGAGAGAGAGAGAGAGAGAGAGAGAGAGAGAGAGAGAGAGAGGAACACGAAGAGACAGAGAGAGAGACAGAGAGAGAGAGCGGGCACTTGGTCTGTGCGTTCTACAGAGGAGCATGAGTCCTCGCTCCAGGCTTAGCCACCAGGAGGGTCAGCCCAGGCTGGATTCTTGCTCCCTCCCTTTCCCTACCGAGGTCACTAGTTTTCTAGAGCCGGGGCACGAACCCTCGGGTGCTCCCCACAACAGGGAGTGTGGGGCGCCCTGAGCAATCTCCTCCCAAACAGGAACCACAGTGTCAAAGGCAGGCCCTCTCAGTGGTCACAAGAGGTGGGGAGGGCGGGAGGGGGAGTGAGACGTCACCTGGGGGAAGACTTCCCGCTATGGAGATGAGCACAGTGCAACTAGAAATGCCCCTGGGGTGTGTGACCCTCCAGAGCCCGGACACAGTGGACTGCTCTGGGGATTCCCCCAGACCCCTCTCTCACACAGGCCTTTTACTCGGGGATGGGGTGGGTGGAGAGTGCATCCTCTATGAGCAGTATCTTTTTTCAAAAATGTAAATTAAACCTAAACATCTGTTTCTAATAGTTTATTTTTTGTGTGCAATCCATTGTGGAATGTTTGTTTATGGTTTTGAATGACTAACAGGCAGGAGCCCTTATCAGGCCTGTGGCATTTGATCAAAGACATAAGCCATGTCCCCTCAAGTGGGGACCAGGAAAGCCAGGATCAACTGAGCTGCACGGTGCCATTTGCACAGGCAGACCAAGGACTCCAGTGGGGAGGGCAGGCTTGTCCTTGCCAGCCCAGGTACACCTGAGAATCAAGGTGGGCCACATAGATGCTTCTAAAACAAGTGGAAGCCCAGGCCTCACCCCAGACCCATTGGATTATCTGGGGCCAGGGTTCTGCCATCAGTTTCTTAGATTTTTTTAAAAGTTATTCTCTCACTGAGTTACAGTATTCTGTATTTTTCACAAAACTTGAAGGATTTCTCCCCATTTTTTGCTCGCGGAAAAAAATGATGTTCAGGGAATGAAAGACCAGATAGAATGTATCTTAAAGGTTTCTTAAGTTTCCAGATGTATGTTTTGTGCCTCTCCCTTTTATAATTGTTTCAGGTACAATCCTACTTCGTTGGAAAATAACACTAAAAAATAAGGATCCCAGTGAAAAGCACAGTCTAAAACTGTGCCCACATGGACACACGTGATTGTTTGAGTGAGGCCCTGGCATAGATGGGGTCTTTCTGTGTCTTGGCCGCTCTGAACTTCACCCCATAGGGACCCTGAGTGTGGCTGGAGCCCTTTGCAGTACTTTTGGAATGGCCAGAGTGGCACCAAGGTGCTTCTGTGTAGGTCTGTGTTGTGGTGGCTGGGCACACAGACCCCTCTTGTTTTAATGAAGAAACACCTCCTTGGTTTTAAGAGGCTTTGCGGAGGGATTTGGGCAAAGTCACTGAGAGAGAATGAGCCTGCTCTGTGCATTGGGGCCAGGTGAGTTAGTTACCTGCAGGAACCCTAGCAAGTGAAATTTGTAGAGTTGGGGTGGAGGAGCTTGTAGTGGAACACATGGGACAGTCCCTTCTGGCTCTCCATCTTCCTTGTCTTCTCCCCTACCTGTCTACCACCTCCACCTCCTCATATCTCTCTCTCTCACACACACAAACACACACACACACACACACACACACACACACTTGTGTACCTGCCAAAGAAGCCAACAGGTAGAAAAACTCCCCAGTTCCTTAAGGGCTGTTGCCTGAGCATGTAGGAAACATCTTATTTTATAGGTTCAGCAGTTCAAGAAGTAAGTAGAAAAGAAAGAGAGGAAAAAAAGGGAGTGTGGCTATTTTAAAAAAGAGACAGAGAAGGATCTGGTCTAGACTGACGGAGTCTTGCATTTAAAATTAGCAAAGTCTTGTTTTCTCAATCCTCATAGTCCCAGCTTCCTGCTTGTAGATTCTGCCTGCCCACTCTCACTTGGAGGCTAAATACAGAGGTTTGGGATGGGGGATATTTTCCTACCCAAACCACGTGCTGGGAGAACCGACTAACACTGGTTCCCTCCTGAAGGAGTGCTGGCCAGAGAAACAGTGCCCTTTAGAGCTTTCTGCTGAACTGAGAGACCCCCTAAAGCAGGAACTCAGTCTCTGTCCATGTAGGCTATGGGTGCCCAGCAGTCCACGGTAATCGGACTCTGAAACTTCACGGAAGGGAAGATGAAGTGGTAGACGTGCTAGTGATGCTAGCAATTTGGTATTTGGAGTGTGGGCTTTGGAGTTTGAATTCCATCTCTGCCATTTAGGAGCTGCGTGACAGGGAGCAAGCTGTCACACCTCTTGATACCTCACTTTCCTTGTCTGCGAAATGGGCATGGAAACAGTATAAACCTCATAGGATTGTATGGAGATTAGTGTTCAGTAAATGGGCCAACACTTGGCACATACACAGTTAGGAGCATAACAATTGCTCCCTGTTGTTGGTTTCCTTATCTTTGGGTATAAACATTTTAAACATTCTTTAAACAGTATAATTCTTCTGATTGCCGTAATATAATAGACTGCCATTCTAAGAGGGTGGACACATCCTAGCAACGTTGACATCTCAGCCAGGTCAGCTCACCCTGCTCCAATAAGATTCCTGCCTGTGTGTGCTGCGGCCCTGGCCGGGCGGTGACCCACATTGGCGGATAGGGAAAACCGTCCACTCTGCCCAGAATGCGCTGCCCATTCATTCTACAAACATTTACTGAGCACCCCGCCCCTCTTGCCCCCGCCACAAGCCACGCAAATGCACCTCCTTCTCTTCAAGGAGATGGTCCCGGATCCTGGTCTAATTTGGTCCTCACAGTAACCCCACGACTTGGTGTTCTTTTGTTTATTTTCTGAAAAAGGAAATGCCAAAAGTCACAGAATGGACAAAGGATGGAACCAGAATTTAGTCCCGCCCTGTCTGGTTCCTCTGTGTGTCATCTCCCATGGGCTCACACTTCCTCAGGTCACTTGGTCCTACTGCTTCACCCTACCCTGATTTAATACCGGGCTGAGAATGTTCTCGTGTCTACTGAGTGTGGATTATCTGAGGAGACAAACACAGTTTGCTTCCCTTTGTTGATATTAGAGGATACTTTTTAAAAAGTAAATCCTCCCTTGCGTTGATATTTTCTTTCTTTTCTGTTGAGAAGCTGATAGGAGAGGAAATACCCAAATAGGACTCCTCATTCCTTAAAATGACCTTGAAGTCTTCCATTTCGTTGGTGGAGGTGGGGCAGGGAGAATGACGTACAAAGGGGTCCCTGGGCTGCTGCAGGAAGACCCACCTGAGAAGCTGGCGGGAAGCAGCTGGGACCGGGCAGCATTTGCAGGACAGCTGGCCAGTGCGGGGAGCAGCCAGGACTTGAGCAGTGCCTGTGGACAGACATCCCTGTCCCCCAAGAGGAGTCTTCTTAGAAAATTCCCGCATTCGGCAATTTTGTTCTGAGCCCCTGATGTGTGCTGGATGTAATTCTTGGTACTGGGATGCTGCCTTGGGTAAGACTAAGTCCCTGCCCTTAGTAACACGCTTTAGCAGCAGACCTAGATGGGGCGGGCTGAGGACGGCTGTGAGAGGGTCTTTGCTGGGTGCTGGTGGTCCGGGAATGGTACAGGAAGGCAGCGATGTCTCCACCGAGTTTGAACATGAGAGGAAGTAAGCCAGGCAAGGCCAAGGGAGCACTGGCTGCTGTTCTGAGCCCTGCAAGGGTCCTTAGCCAGGCTTGTGTAGAGTATGAAGTGCAATGGGGAGGAGAGAAGGTGCTGGAAGAGTTGGCAGGGAGTAGTAGGAGAAGGGCCAGGTGAGGGAGTTTGAGCTCACCTGGTGAGAGACAGCCAGTCTTGAGGAGTAGGCCAGTGAGGATGAGATAGGTGGGTGGGCTGGGTGGCTATTAGGAGGAAATGAGAGGAGGAGGAGGGCAGAAGGCCTGTGCGTGGGTTTCTGGCAGCTTGGAGAATGGTAGCTCTGTGCCCTGACTTGGTGAGTGCAGAAGGTGGAGTCATCTGGGCGTGGGACCTTCAAAGCCTAACAGTCCCCATGAGGCATCCTGCTGAGATGTCCTCATGGCAGTGGGGAGAGTCTGGGGTTCAGGAGGGCACTGCGCTGGAAAGAGTAGATTGGAGCTTCATCTGCAAAAAGAATCCGTGGAAATGGATGAGATGGCCAGGGAGAGGTGGAGTTGCGGGTGGGGCAGAACACACTTGGGGCGTCCAGGTCACACTTGACTCTTCATTGTATGTCACCTCTCACCTTCTTTCCTTCTGGTCTTGACACCTGAGCTCTGACCTCCCTATACCCCTGGCGGTGGTCCTTCCAGGAAGAGCTGAAACGACCCCCTCCTGGGTGACTCCGCGCTCCCTGGTCACCCGAAGCTCTCTGTGCACTTCCAGCTCCCTGCCCCGTCCTGAAGTTCCCTGGCACCTCTCTCCTGTCCTGACTGCTAGAGGACAGGGCCAGGGCCTCGCTCATCTCCCTGTGGCTTCGCAGTGGTCGGCCACTGTGTCTGGAGTCAGTGAGTCGGTGAGCAAATGAATTAAAGAAGACTGTTGTTGCTTCTGCCAGTTCCACTTACGTAATAAGGCAGGCCCACTGCTTTTGTTGTACAAATTTCCTTTTTAAAAACATTTCAAATGTGCAGAAAAAGTACAGAGAATACGAGAGCACTCATATCCCCACCTTCCAGGTTTGACACACAGCCAAACTCCTCTACAAGTCACAGCCTACAAGAGAACACCTACAATCAAAATGACTTAAGCCAAATGGATTTTCCCACAGAAAAAAAGTTATGACACCAACTCAGATCTCTGTGGGCATAGTGCCTCTTATTTTATTTTATCTTATTTTATTTTTTATTTATTTTATTTTTTTTGAGACAGAGTCTCACTCTGTCACCTGGGCTAGAGCATTGTGGCATCAGCCTAGCTCACAGCAACCTCAAACTCCTGGGCTCAAGCGATCCTCCTGCCTCAGCCTGCCAAGTAGCTGGGACTACAGGTGTGCGCCACCACACTGGGCTAATTTTGTCTATTTTCTTCCATCTTTCTGTGTTGCTTTCTGTTCTTAGCAAAATTTTGAGTAAAAATCTAAGCAAAATTTTTTTTTTTTTTTTATAGAGACAGACTCTTGCTATATTGCACAGGCTGGACTGGAACTCCTGGGCTCAAGTGATCCTCCTGCCTCAGCCTCCCAAGTAGCTGGAACTACAGGCCTGCGCCATCATGCCCAGCTAATTTTTTTGTGTTTTTGGTAGAGACAGGGTCTCACTCTTGCTCAGGCTGGTCTCGAACTCCTGAGCTCAAGCAATTCTCCCGCCTTGGCCTCCCAGAGTGCTAGGATTACAGGCATGAGCCACTGCTCCTGGCTGCCTCTCATTTTATTTTTTAATGAGAGCAGAAACTGCACGTAATCAACAGTATGCTAGAAAGCCTTCTAGAGGCATATAAATCTATCATCTAGGCAACCCCCTCCCGCCAGTCACACTGCCACTCAGTTCACATGTGCGGTGCTGTGTACCATTCTTATCTTACTTCCTCGTCGTACTCCCTGCCTGGAGTGAGAGCCAGAAATCAAAAGGTGAAAGAGCATGGTCACTAAAGCCATGGAATTTGGGAAGCTTCCTGGGATGGATTCTTTGTCTGTGTTGAAAAATAGCTCATTAGGTCTGCTGAACTATCATGGTGATCTGCATTTCATGTTTGATCACCATTTATCTTAGAAATGAACTTTTTTCCTCTTATAAAAGTAAAGTAGATGCATCATGGAAAATGAGAAAATTCAGATAAGCCAAAAGAATAACTTAGAGTCCCACCTAGGAACAGATGCTATTCGCTTTCTGGATTGTGTCCTTCTAGTTGTTTATCTTTGTATGTTTGTGCATGTGTATGTGTGTCACGTGTCTATATACGCGTTCGCACATACATTGTCTTCAATGCACTGGGACCATAGGGGTATATGGCTTGGGGACCTGCTTTTCTTTTTTTACCCCTAACGCGGAGAGAACACCTTGCTCTGTCATTACACATTCGTCTACAAAATCTTGCTAGGCCTGGAGAGATTTTTGGCAATCTGGAGAAGGCTTTTGGAAAGAGTTGGGGGTCTTAAGAAATGGTTCCGGGGTCATCTGTCTTTCTGTTGTCCCTACACATTTTTCCATCACGAGTATAGGAATTAGATACCAAGTCACATTCAGGGCTGGAATCCGTCTCTTCCGACCGGTGCTTCAGCACATCTGCCCCTCCGCCTCGCCGCCAATGTACTGAAATGAGGGGTCCCCGGTGGGCAGAGGTCTGAGTACAAGGGGGGAGGTGCACAGATTTTCTAAAGAGCAGTGGTAGCAGCCTCACTGCCAGAATTCAGAAGATCCTTGAGAGTCACAAGTTTATTTCCAATCACCAAAATGTAAAAAGATTTAAATAAACTTTCTCCCGCCACGTGTGGATGGTGGGGGTAGAGGGACAAAGTTTTAGAATGCTCAGTCCATTTAAGAGGCGTCTAACAAAATAGGAAAAGGAGGAAGCATTCTCATTCCCCTTTCGAGGTGCAAATGTAATTAAAGCACCCTTCCTGCTCGTCTCACCTTTGAAAGAGTTTTCTTGGTAAGTCCCTGGAACCATGTTGCTCTTTGGGGAAAATACTGTGTGATTAAAACCTACCACACCTTTATTGTTTGAGACTATTATTTTAGAAGGAAGTCCTAAGCCTCAGTTTACTCCTCTGTGAAATGGGAAAAATAATATGTACTTTGTTGTTGTGAGCATTAAATGTGATAATGTATGTAAAGTGCTTCCTGGTGTATAGTAAGTGCTCAATGAATATTAGATGTTGCTATCTTCTGTTAATACTGAATAGGAAAATGAGTGACTGTATTTTGAGTTTGAGCACCCAATTGTGATGCATGCTGGGAAATGTTAAAAATTCTTTGCTTTTGCCTAGTGTAGCATTCAATAAATATTGGTCAAATGAATGAATGAATGAATGGTGCTATGGATGATAATATTACTTCTGGACATTGGTTACAATGCCTTTTCCATGAAAAATCAATTATATGGTCTTTTTTACAGAGCAGCTGCTCTTAAAAATCTGTTCTATGTGTCTGGAAGGGTTTAGGGCAATTTGTTTTCTAGTTTTTCACCTATAGTCAAGTGGACATAGGAAGTTTGTATGGGGGAAGTTTGTATATACACACACAGATATGTCTGTTTTCATTGACTTGTTTTTTCATTTTATGAGATTACTGCAGAAGCTATTAGTAACTATTCAGTGAGGTCCCCACGTTTCAGATTGTGTAGTTAGTGTCAAACATTTGAATCAACACAACATAGTGGCCGAGCATGGTGGCTCACGCCTGTAATCCTAGCGCTTTAGGAGGCCGAGGCGGGAGGATTACTTGAGTTCAGGAGTTCAAGACCAGCCTGAGCAAGAGTGAGATCCTGTCACTACTAAAACTCGAAAAAAAATTAGCAGTCAACTAAAAATAGTAACAAAAAATTAGCTGGGCGTGGTAGCTTGCGCCTGTAGTCCCAGCTACTCAGGAGGCTCAGGCAGGAGGATTGCTTGAGCCCAGGAGTTTGAGGTTGCTGTGAGCTAGGCTGACGCCACGGCACTCTAGCCCGGGCAACAGAGTGAGACTCTGTCTCAAACGAACAAATAAAAACAACAAAAAACCCACAACATAGTGATATCAGCAAGATCACAAATCTTCATGCTCTTCTGCCACATACCAGTGGCTTTACATCTGGAACTGACTGAGAGTCGTGGCTGATCTTGGCCTTGAGGCTCTGAATGACTCGGTTCTTTAATGCAGCTCGACACAGTGTGGACACCTGAACACCCCCCATATGAACACTTAATGCCTTAGCATACGACCTTGTTGCCTTCAGCTTACACGGTGTGACTACTCTGAAACCTTGTTCCTGTTTCGACATGCATATGTGTAGCATGTTGCTTCCAATCGATGTCACCGTTCGGGGGCCCATTTTCTCCTTTGTAAAATGGCAGGCATGGAAGAGAAGGCTCTAAAGCTCTTTGTGTCTCAGCCCAGGGAGGTAGGAAGACCACGCCTGGGAGCTGACGCTAGCTTTTACCAGCTTGGGACCCTGAGCCTCAGTTGCCTTCCCTGGAGAACAAAAATAATAATTATGGTTATTCAGAGGGTCAGAAGCAAAGTGCTTTGTGAGTGGGATTGTGGCGGACAGGGGGAGGGATTCTGGGACTGGCCATCATGCCAGTTGTGTAACAGCGTAATGCAACAGTGTAACGCAACAGTGTAACGGTGCTAGGGGACCCCAACTAGGACTGAGCCAAAGGCCACAGAAGAAGCCAGCATGTCAGTGATGTTCTTTTCCTTTCTGTGACTAGGAAATTCAGATCTGCACACTGGTTTGGCCCACCATTGCTGGAGAAATCTCATGGGATGTGTCTTTTGTGACTTTGAACTTCTTGGTTCCAGGACTGGTCATTGTGATCAGTTACTCCAAAATTTTACAGGTACGTTTGCTTCAAGTGCCGCGGCTGAACTTCACTCGGGTTCAGGATATTTCTGCTAGAATCTTAGAATTTGGGCTTGAAAGATACCCAAGAGTCACTCCAGCCCAATCCTGACTCACTGCCCAGGTCCACCCTGCAACGTTGAGGAATGAGAGTTTGGCATTTAAAAAAAATAATAAGTTATATCTTTGTGATTGCAGATATCACAAAGATATCTTTTTTTTGTCATCACTAAAGTAATACAAGCTCATTATAAAAAATTAAATTAAAATGAAAACAGATGCAGAGATGTATACCCTATAAACTGAAAACCTACTTTACCCCCATTCTTCACAACTCAAGATATATTTTTTCAGTTTTTTTTAATACATTTACATACATATTATGCATACTCTGTGTGTGTGTGTATGTGTGTGTGTGATGGACCACATGAAATTGCAGATTAAAATGACCAGGTAGCTGTTTGATGCTGTTGAGTCCAACGTTCCTTTCAGGGATGAGATGATACTATCTGCCCTGTGACTTCCTTTTTTCAGTTCACACTGTCTGTTCACATCTTTCCACATCATTCCTATATCACTAGTTCATTACTTTTAGTGGCTGCAGATGTGACATCATTTATTTTACAGACTTTGTTGCCGTGTCCATTGTTTCCTCATTACAAACACTGCAGTGATAGAGAAGTATACTTTTTAAAACTTTTATTGAAGTATCATACACATGTGGAAAAGCACCCAGAGTACGTGTCCAGCTCACAAGCTGACCCTGCTCACGAAGGCAGCTCCCAGGTGCAAATGTTACCAGGAGCCCCGCCCTGTTACTTTCCAACGGGTGCCCCCCTGCCCTGGGGAATGTCCCTTTCAAATGCGCACTGAAACAGGAAATGATCTCTGCCCTCAAAGCAAGTATATCCAGGGACATAAAAAAGATGGGCCAGGCCGGGCGCCGTGGCTCACACCTGTAATCCTAGCACTCTGGGAGGCCGAGGCTGGTGGATCGCTCAAGGTCAGGAGTTCGAGGCCAGCCTGAGCAAGAGCGAGACCCTGTCTCTACTAAAAAATAGGAAGA